TCATTTGCTAAGCTGCATTTTCTACCATTCATTCATTCATTCATTTGCTCATCTATCCATTCACTCCTTCATTCATCCAGTCACTCCTTCATTCACAACATACCTCCTTCAAAAGGAATTTGAACTTAAACATGTTCGTTTGTTTCATCGGTCACACGTTCTGTCTGCCCATGCGTCCTTCACTGTCCCATGCAGCGCAGGCAGTGACTACTGCAGGGAAAACTCTCCAAGTCCCTGAAGCTGACCAGCTTCAATTCTCTATTATTTCTCGAAAGTAGAGATTTCTTTTTATTATTCCTTGAATCAGCCTCCTAACTAAAACCTTTTAAATGCAAAAAGCTAACACAGTATTCTGTGCCCTAACGTTTTCCAATTCATATTGGGCACCGCCGAATGAAGAGTAAGTTCTGTCTCTGACTAGGCCGCACGGCGAGCCTTTACCTGGCTATTCCGGAATGCCATTACCTTCCTGTCAGCATGAATCCCCTGGGAAACAAGCCAGTTCCAGAGGACAGAGCGTGCCACGTGGCATGCACCCGGGCTGGCCCTAAGATGCACCCGAATGTCCCTGCACTGGCCCCGACGTAGAACACAACCTCTGACTTAGGGCTCGCTCCTCGGAGAACCCGGGAGCTGCAGGTGGACTCACCTGGCGAGTTCTGGGGAGAGGACACAGGGGAGCCGCGCGGGGACTGACAGTAGCTGGGGTGGAGTAAGGCATGTGGAGGCACATAAGACATTATCTCTTCTTCAAATAAACTGGGGAAAAACAAGAAACAAAATGCGCACTTTAGCCAATGAGGTGGGGAAAAGCCGTGTTTCCACGCTAAGACAGTCGCTCTCTCCTCCTGGCCCGCCCCACCCGAGGTCTCGTCCCCGTCCCACGTCCCACGGGGAGCGCTGTCCCTCTGCCCACTGGCCAGTCCCCGCACAGACTGGCTGCTGCGGCCGCTCCCGAGAAACCTGTGGCTACTGGTCTGTTTTCCTACCGACGTCGGACAATGTCGTTTCTGTTTTGCCACTTTAATGCGTGAGTGTGAGTTCACATGTTCGTGTGCAAGAGAACCTGGGTGTTTTAATTTGGGAATAAGATTCCAACACAACAGACATCTACTGAGAGCCCCTCCTGGATACACGAAGCATGTGTCACAGCTTCATCTGAGAGACAGACAGCGGCTCTCAGCCTTCGGAGCTCAGGACTTAAAAGAAGCGTTAAAAGCAAAAGAAAACAAAATAGCTCCTAAATAATCAGCCCCCTCGCTTCATAATGGTTTTCCAATGTGAGGGCTTTGGTGTGAGATTACCCAGCCCCGTATCCGCTGTTTCCACCAGTCTTCTAAAAGCCCGTCAGCAGATATCTGGTATCTTGGAATCCCATGTCATACAGATGATGATAAGGAAAAGCAGTATGGATTGCACTAACTCGGTGGTCGGCAAACATGCGGCTCTTTGGCCCCTTGAGTGTGGCCACGAAGTTTCAATCGCACTGTACGTGCGCGCCCGCACATGGTATTTTGTGGAAGAGCCACACTCAAGGGGCCGCAGTTTGCCGACCACTGCACTAACTCAAACAAACACTTGAAATAGAATGAAAACAACCATAAAGAGTTTTTTAATTAAGAGGTGGAAGTAGGTTTCCTTTACACTTGGCCAAATCTAAAACCTGCTCCTTGTTTCCAGAAGACATTCAGAAAAAGAGGCAAGAGTTTAACCTTGTAGGGGTTTAAGGAAAGACCCCCCCCCCAAGGCACTGCTTCTGAGCCCGGCAAGGCTGCCCTTCCCCACACCATCCGAGGACTCTGAGTGATGCTGGAGGCCGTTTTGGTTGCCATAACTGGGAGAGGGGGTGCTTCTGGTATCTGGTGGGTAGAGGCCAGGATGCCCATAAACATCTCACAACGCACAGACTAGCTCCCTGCCACAAAGGCATATCTAGCCCACAGCGGCTATACTTCCGAGGCTGGGAAACCCCGGGTGGTAGCAATGACAACTCGATAGCCTTTCTGTCCTTCTTCATCCACATGCACACATCTGTGGGACCAGCCACTGTAACAAAGGCACTTTTAAACAAGATATTTTTAAAGCCATCTTTCCACTTTTAAACTATAGAAGTCAGAAGGTTTGGGAACAGAAGCGGTAAGTAATCATATGTTTAATGCCTAATTAAGCCCTGAAATGGCCATTTCTCTTTTTCAGTAAGTCAGTAGTCATTGAATAATGTGATTTTAAAGGGAATCACTAGTGAGAAGTCCCATGTAACAGTTGCTACCACAAAGTCCTAGCTAACGTAATTGTAGAGTAGGGATTAGCACCCTCTCCTCAGACATCTACACCTGCGCTTTATTTTTACTTCAGACAAACATGCATGCATACCTGTACATCTGTGTATGTGTACATTTACGTACTTATATATATGCATATATATGCAAGTGTGTATATGAAGTGCCTTTTGTTCTCCTCTCTCACGACCTTAATAGGTATCCTTCCATAGTCTTATATTTAGCAACACATAGGCATAGATAAAAAATATATAGCTTTGCCCAATGCACCGTTAAAAATTACAATGGGTATATGTACATAGCATCCTTGGACATTTTGTTCAACAATATAATTCTGAGATTTGTCTGTGCATAAGGATGTAGTTTATTATTTTTACCTGCTATGCAGCAGGTCATTCTATGAACCAAGTTTATTTATCCCTATCTCTTTTGACAAATATTTACTTTTCCCCAACTTTGTGGTTTTATCAATAATGGTGCAGTGAACACCTTGGGCATATGTAAAAGAGTTCCTTAGCGTAAACATGGTAACATATCTAAAATTAGAATTGCTCAGTCATAATGCAGATGCCTTTTCAACTATATACAACATTGCCAAACTGTATTCTGAAGAGGGTCTAGAAATGGCAATCCCACCACATCCAGGCAATAAAAGAGGCCCAATTTCTCAATTGGAATTATCAGGCTTCTGATTTTTTTTCAAATCAAACAGTGTGAACTAGTATCTCATTACTTGAAACTGCAATTTATGACTGCGAGCATCTTTCCATAAGTGTACTGGCTATTGCTGCTTCAATTTCTATGAAATGCCTTTTTCTAGCCTTCACCCATTTTTCTTTTAAATTAATTTAAAGGCATTCTTTATGTACTTATGATATCATTTTTATGTCTTATGAATATATTCTTCTAGTTTGTTACCTTTCTTTATGTCTTCATATATGGTGTCTTTCATTATGTAAATTTTAAAATTCAAATGTAGCCAAATTCATCAATCATTTCCTATATGAGTTCTAACAGAGGAATATTTTTTTACATGAGTTGAGTTAGTGCAAGAATATATGAACTAGAATTATCAATAACAGATGCAGCAAGGTCATTTAAGAACTCTCAGGTTCCATGATATCTATATTGGAAAATAGCCTGACACAGCTTTACTTTTGAATGGAATCATTTCCCAGAGCTGTGTCATCTATCTCTACACTGCAGCCTGCTGATAATCAAGTCCACTGGACCAGGAGTGATTTCTCTTTTTAAGAAATAGACAAAGTATAAAAACAGGCAGTCTTGCCCTGTTAGCAACAAATCTGTTGCTTGAGTTCACAGTCACTATTTCAAATTATTCTAACTCCAAAGTAAAATTAAAAGTAAAGAGCTAAGGATATCCCCAAAAGTTTCAGTAATCATTAAAGATCATTTATTAAGCAGCACAACTAATACACTGTGTCACTGTTATTAAAATGATAAACACATTTGATCATCCAAATATTTCCAACCAAACTATGGAAGAAACACCATACTCCATATTAATTGACAAATCGTCTTCCTGACTGTCTGGCATAGCCTGTCCTATTTTCAGAACTAGCTCAGTACACCATGGGCAAGGCTCACCCTCTTGTGGTCAAGGAACCCCGCTACCATAGGTCTTATTCAGAATCCAGTGAAATGAAATCTTTATGGAAAGTGAATATGTCCCAATGAATTATGCTCCAAAAATCCAGTAAAAGAAACTAACGCTTTGGCTTTAGTTTTTAAAATATGGCAACTATCAAGTAGGCAGTTAGAAATGGTTCAGGTCAAGATCATTATGAATAACATGAATGAGATTGTTAGCACTCTGGGATAAATAAAATATCGACTGACATGGCTCAGCATGATTTGACCTTTCATTCTATGGAGGTCACATTGGTGGGGTGTCCCAACCACTGGGGGGAGCAAGCATTGTTCTACTTTGGCCTCCTACATTTGAAGGGTAATATTGAAAATGAAAAGAGCTTTTGAAACCTGGCTATTTCCCCTCGAAACCACTCTAAAATTTAAGACCAAAGGTACTCTAACCAACAGCAAAGAAAACACAATTGGTCGGTTTTATGAAGGGCTATCAAGTTGAAAGTGAGGACCAGAGACCAAATTTCAACTTGATCTGATTTCCCAGACCTAAACTCTCAAAACCATAGAGTAAATAAACATTATTGAATCAGCAAAAGGGGACCGAGCACAATTTACACACACACACACACACAATCCGAAAGAAAATACAAACATGACCCCTTCTACGCTGAAGGGGTAAGTTGTATCTACCCTCTGCTCCATTCTGTGAATGGGACATTCCATGCATTGGCCTCTACAGACCCTCCCCTGCTCTAATGCCACCTCCTCGACCAGCAGGGCAAAACCAATCAGACATCTCCGTGATGGGAACGGTGATCCGGAATGAAGGACCATTACACCAGCATCCACCTCTGGAAGTGAGCATCACCCAAGAACTCAAGAATAGAGGCTACCGGGTGCTGTCAAATTATTTTCTAAAATGCTCCTGACACCTGATAATAAGACCCTTTCTAGCTCAAGAATGAGCGTCACCTACCTCAGCAACATCACAAGGTCTGCATCACTGGAAAGACGCACCAATCCTGGGGTCCCTTCCGTTCGAATAAATTGGATCTTCTCCCTGTTCGAGCAAAGAAGCGGTTCACAATTTATGTAGTCGATTTTTGAGACATAACTCAGTGCGTTAGGCACCAATTTTTTAAATGATGGTCACATGATTTTGGGGGTACCTATTATGTGGCAGCTGTGGTGTGACACCCTAGGAACACACATCCAAGGCAGACATGGTCTTTGCCTTCAAGGACAACCTCACGGGGGTCAACATTACCCAGTCCTAATGCTGGGAAAGATTCTTTTATAGGCCCTAACCGGTGTGGCTCAGTGGATAGAGCTTCAGCCTGCGGACTGAAAGGTCCCAGGTTCAATTCCGGTCAAGGGCATGTGCCTTGGTTGCGGGCACATCCCCAGTGGGAGGTGTGCAGGAGGCAGCTGATTGATGTTTCTCTCTCATCGATGTTTCTAACTATCTCTCTCACTCCCTCTCTGTAAAAAGTCAATAAAATCCTATATAATAAAAGGGTAATATGCAAATTGACCCTAACAGCAGAATGACTGGGAATGACTGGTCACTATGACACACACTGACCACCAGGGGGCATACGCTCAATGCAGGAGCTTTGCCCT